TTACATCTATTTTGTGGCCCAAATGTGTGGATCCTTTTTGACATTGCTATGTTTCGTCTTAATGCTTCACGTTGTTTGTTGGTGTTTGTGCTCATTTTGATTCTAGATGTAGACCTGCCATCTGAAAATGAGCACATCGCCCACTTGGAGCATTTTTTCTTTAGTCCAGGGGTTTAACACATTTTCTATTTCAAAAAGGGCAAATACCTCAGTTACTTTACTACTGACCAAATAAATAATGATGATGACATATACAGACAACGATGTGAGCTCTATGTGCAGCCAAATACAGTTTAACACTAATTCTGCTTTTGTTCACTTCCAGTTTAAGTGATTTTGTTTATGTTTGTTTGTTGCTCTGAGGGTTTGGTTTCATCCGTGTTTGTGGCCTGAAGATTTTCATTTACTGGCCCCTTGTGGTCAGGATACCTAGAGGGGGTAGTGCCAGTCAGATGTTTGTAGCTGTGGGTGTTCGGACTTTTAAAGCACTTTTAAGAAAGTTAATGTTCACTTTTAGAGAACGACTGGACGACAGTGAGTGGTTCCAGTTACTCATGCAGTCTGAGGAAGGTGAAGTGTTTGTGTATTTATTGATTTCTTTGAAGTCACTGTGTATTTTATGTACATTATAAGTTTATAAGTCCTGTCAGCCCTGTGCTGTGACAAGAAGTCACACACTCAGCTGCTCTTAATCTGGGTTAATCTGAGTTTGTTGAAATGTGCTGTTTTTTGAGTCATACAGTCATACATCAGGAGTGACCTGTCGCTCAGAGCCGAGAAACATTTCCAGACATACTACAAATAAGTTGGGATATGTTTTAAGTAATGTAATCCATGTTGCACAAGTGCTTCACAAGGGCAACAGAGTGAAACACACAGGTATTTTAAACCTCAGGGCAAAAGCAGACAATGAAATTTGATGTATAAAAACCAACACAATGCAGGAGAAGAAAGAACTCACTATAGTGAAAGACAGTCCACAGAAAACAGCTGATATTGAAGCAGGTTAGGTTACTAAGATTTTGGATGGGGTCTTTGGGGGATTTGCTACCTCTGTGGTTCAGGTAGTCAACGTAAATGGAAGGTCCACCAACTCTTATTTTTCTCTGTATCATGAACTGTGTGGATACTTTCTGTAGACTGGATCCAGGAAAAACCTCACCCTTAAACAAGAAAAACAACCTCTGATGACACAGCAGTTTCACATACCTGAGTAACAGCCTGAGGTGCACTTATCTCATTGTTTTTGTTAACTAGGCAAAAATACTCAAGTGGCAATATTTTAAGACATTTCGTTAAAAATATTTGTTATATGATAAAACATTTGGTATTTAAAAAATCAGCCATGCAAGACTTTAGTAGTTTTATTCAGGGTTTAAGAACCTGATTCTTGACTCTTTATTCTGACTCCCACCAGTTTTATGTCAGTCATTCTAAAAAATAGTTTACTGCTATACATAAAATAAAGAAAAGGGTTAAAAATCAGTAGAAAGGTCACATTTGAAAGAAAAACATGAAGACAATTATATCAGCCTGAAATCAGGTTCCTGTTGATCACATTTATTTTATAATAAGATGAAATGTTGCATTTATCAGAC